GAAATTTGATTAACCGCTTGTGTGCGGGTAAAGTAAGGTTAAATAAATATAAATATATACCTATGTATAATATACCTATATAAAAAAGCTCTGATGTGGATTGCTATTCGTGAAGCAGACGAAGCAAACGAATCGATTTACCCATTTTAGCCCCGGGCTTGTCGCACAGGTATCCCTGTAAGATTTCGCCTCTCGCGTTTGAATGAGTTTAATCCGGAAACGATCTTCTCATATCCGGTGTTGGGAAAAAAAAGAGCAGATTTGATCGTTTTCGTCTATATATATGTACATCGACGCTAATGTCGCCATTATTACACTTTGCCAAAGGAAACGGATGCGCACGTTATACGGTTGAGCCGTCGCAGTCGGTGAATAATTATTATCGTCGTTATAAATAAGATGAAATCGAACGACGATTGGACGATTTTTTTTTTTTTTAAATATACACAGTGTTGTAGTTATTACATATTTTTTATGTGCAGCACAATCGGTACAATACAAAACTCTTCGAGAGCAAACTGGGAACACTACACATAGCGCGAGTAACCACAGTGCCGGATTAAGATGACTTTTTTTCTTAAACAATGACCGTCGTAGAAACTGATAAAGAAATTATTTATTTTTTAGTTGCAATAGGTCCCTGTAATCCATATGAGCGAATAGCCTTTTTTAACAAGTTAACTGTCATGAATACTGTATTTGGTACTCATATACATTGTAAAAAATTAGCTCAGCAGTCAACTGTTAAAAATATGGTTCACACAATCACCGTTGTTATTACTTTCCATCACCGCACTTACCGTTGTCTTACCTCTTTTCAATAATCGCTCTCATACTACCGTATTTCTTATGCCCCATTACCGAACAAAAATTTAAATAAAAAATGGCTGTAATATAATTATTTTTTTATATAATAGAGCTATGTTCTGCAAATGAAAGAACAAGTTATTATTTTTTTTTTTTTATGCTTTAGCTATACTTTAAGCCTAATTGGTTACACCATATAAAAAAAAACACATGTTATGCAGTCAAGCAAAATACGAATTATCCTTAAGAAAGAATACACTAATTTTAAAGGTCAATTGTATGCTTTATGGAAGTATACCTTTCATATTATGGGCCCCCGTGGGATACATTTTACTGAAAATCGTTTGGTCTAAGACTTCATCCATCTTATTGAAAAACCTAGTTATGACTTTGAAATTTAGTTAAGCTGATATACGAGAACACCATTTGAATGTCTTTAAATTATCTATAACATTATAACATAACTATGACAATACTTAAAATAATTGTATTAATTTTAAATGGTTAGTGAAAATATTAAAATCGTCTAATAAATAAGTTTAAACTATATTATTATTCAAGTATAAATCAAAGTTAATGAATAAAAAATTTGTCAAAATAAAAAAAAAATTTGTGAACTGTTAAAACACACTCAGAAATAGTAAAATATGTAAGTTATAATTTAAAATGTTGTCAATTTTGTATTTTGATGGATTTAGCAAACTGAATAATACAAAAAATTTGTTTTTCATAAGTTAGATTAAATTCTGTTCCATTGTGCTATGACTTGGAAGGGGGGGGGGTTGTACCCAATACGTTTTGGTTTGCACTCTAACCGTGAATGAAAATATGTTAGTTACTCATGCATGTAAAATACGGTATATATTTCTCAGACATCGATATTAAACTTAAAATCTAAATTGGTTACAAAAACCAAATTGTAATTTGTCAAAAATGTGTATGTATGTTGTAAATTCGTAAGTCAACAAAATATCGGCGTATAGTGGTTGCTTGTAAATTTATCAGACGGTAAATATTTGACTATAATGTCTGTATGTATCTAATAAAAAACAAATATGGGAGTAGTTACTAGGCAAAAAAAAGTCTAGACACGAATAATATCGTAATTAAAATCCTTTCATAATTTCAATCATTTTTAATAAACTTAAAAATAGTATGTCGTTTTTAATAATAAGGAATATGGATAAGTATAGGAATTGTTCAACATAATATAGATACGCTTAAAAACACCCAATAGTTCGTATTTTCAACCAGTCTGAGAAGACCAAGATTTGGTTCAAAAATTGATTATTAATTTGACATAATATTATGTGTTATAACTAAGTATTAATAACTGTAATATTAGCTTAGTGGATAAAGAAATAATATTCCTCAACACTCAATTTTCGGAAAATTAAAGAAAACTGTTTATTTTTTATATAACTTATAAAGGAATTATATAATTCCTGCAATAATTTATAAATGAAGTTTAAACACAATAATATTATACTTAATACACTTATAATATAAGGCTACATTTCAGCTACAAAATGGCTATCTTAGTTTATTATTTCAAGCCAATATAAAAAAATACTAATAATATATGATATGATAAACAAATACACAGATTTTTTTTTATTAAATCAGGAAACCGCTGTTCAGTTAAATAACTGAGTGCGGGAAAACATTTTTTTTTAAATTTATAACAGCGTTTGTGCTCAAAAAATTGAATTTATTTAGGTTAAAAAATGAATGAAGCGCAGAAGGGCATCAATTTATGCGCAATCAAAAAACCGGTTGTGGGCTATCTATTGTACTTATCACCAGTGGTATAATTTACAAAAAATAATATATTGTTTTTTGGCAAATAATTACTCTATTCAACGAGATAAAAGATCCCAATCATGACTATGTTACCTATGCCGACATGGTTCATCATTACACAGAAGATGACAATCCTGAATTCTTGAGAGTCATGAGAATTTACGGAAACAATAAGAACGAGGGTAATAGTGTTTTAATGTTTTATCTTCACTGAACCAATATATGGAACGCGTATTCGGATTGAAAGATGTCCCGACCTAAGAGGCAGACATTTTGTGTAACAATTTTACATTAATATGTTAGATTAGGTGATGATAACATGATAATATTATATGATGATAACTCCGTCATATATTTGTTAAATCATTAAAAAAAACAATAAATATCATGGACAAAACACTAACTGTTCACAAAATGGCAGTCACCTAATAGTGGACATTTTCATAAGTACTGACTAAAAACAATAGGCGTTCAATATATCGAGTTCAGCGATCACTTCACCAGGCACTATCGTTAATTATTTTTTATGATTTGATGCTTTCCAGATAGAGAAGACAGAATGGATTATGACCAGTTCGGAATAGCCGCGTATGCAGGCTGTATATCAAGATATTATAAAAAGGTAGCATAATGTTCATTGTTGTTAAGTCTACTGAACAGCTGCGTGCGCCGTATAATGTTATAGCTTTTATAGGAAGAATCGTGGTTAAAACGACTGAAAAGTCAATAGTTTAAATGCACTAAATATAAACTAGTGGTGCATAGAGCACTTATTTTATATAATATATAATATGCAAAATATGATAAACATATTTTCTGTACAATAAAAAACGATTTTTTTTTTTTTTTTTTTATGCAGGAAATACTGAACGTTTTTAATATAATCTGCCAAAAACAAACGCCATATGTTACCTACCAAGACTTGGTCAAACATTACAACCGTACAGATACAGCTAAACTCGAGGTAGCGACATCCGATTTCGGAAAACCAACTTTAGGTATGGAATGTTATTGGTAATTATAACCACTACACTACTTGTCTCTTCTAATAGTCAACATTAAAAATCATTGAAATAATTTATGGGCGGTTTAATTCAATTTTTAAAACTTGAATGGGGTATTTTATATTTACACTATTTACACGCCTTGCGAAATCCTGAAGATGGAACAGTCAAGTGTTTCGAAACGTTGGCGAACTAGTCAAGCTATCCAAATGGGAGTAACCACAAGGTGTGTAAATAGTGTAAAGTTTAATTCAATTATTATCAATTATACTTTTTGTTTGTTTTACGACTGTGATTTATAGATGACTAACTTTAGAAGAGCCATAAATACAGGTAAATTCCAGACCTGGAGTTGGAAAAATAATACAATTATTATTGTATTACTTGTTAAAAAAATCAAATGTGTAAATTTATATAAAATATTAAAGTTTTGTTTGTCACCGTAAGAAATGTAAATTTTAACATTATGTTGTTTAATTTATTTAATTAACGAAAATTAAAAACAACCTATATATTATATGTCAGTGGAGTTTTTTTTAGACCTATGTTTCACCGACTTTTGGCCTGAATCTTTTAAGCTGTTTCATACATGTATTACAATTGTAACTTCTTAAATTGGGTTAAAATCAACGAGCGGTTACAAAAGTTATAATCGGAGTAGGTTTCAACATTTTATTTAGTTTGCGTTGCTTAATTATCTATGTAGCCGTTTTTTTCAAAAATATTACATAAAACGCATTAGTGTGTGTTAACTTACAACACATAGTGTGTTTTCGTATGTTATAAGTCTTCTGAAGAGTTTCTGTAAAAAAAAAACCCCTAGTTATTTTCTCCGTTCCATGGAAACACATATTGAACCATGGATATTTTTTAACATCACGGGTTTTTTATGCAGAACAGTTACATGTTTTTTTATCCTAAAAATTCGAAATATAAATATGTTAAAATAAACATTTTCTGGTAGTTAGGCATGATATGGAAGAATATGTTTACAATAAATGTGCGTATCCATGTTAAAACGAGCTTCGCTGTCGTCATCGATCTACCGGGGACCAACATGTAAAGTTTGTTATACGATAATTATATGAAGCGAATGTACACGTGTGTTACATAGTACTCTGGTACACTTATTTATTGTTCAATAAATAAATCTCTACCTTTATGTCGATGACGCGAAATCCTAACACGAATTTTCCACGCTAATTTCGGTATGATCCCCAGACCAAAAACATATCTATGTTAAAAAAAAAAAATTAACATCATATTCTACAAAAAGTATTTTGTAAATATATTTATAAAATATGTTGTGTATTCTATAAGAAAATAAATATTTACTCAGATGTTATTGTCAGACAGTGTACATACTATAAAACGGGCTAAAGTTCAACGTAAGACTAATTATTGTTCAGATCAGTCGAAAGTCTTTTATAAGTTTTATTAGCTCTTAACAGTACGAAAGAAAAAAATGAATTTAAAGTTCATTATTTTAACATGTTTGACGTATTATACTCCAACAGTAAAATCAATCAATGAAAAGGTAATTAAACATTTCATTTTATTTTAATAACATAAGTGTGTTTTGTTGATTTTGGTGAACCCTTTACATTTTTGACTTGATAAAGTACCTTACAGGTACGATTTCTGATCTATAGACTTGCTACAAAAAGAAATCAGGCGGCAGTAAACAAACGTTATGTTTGTTAAATAATTTATATTGAACTGTTTTAAATTATAAATTACGAAATATTACATAAATTCGTTTGTTTCTGTTAAAGGAAATACAAAATCTGTTTAACGACATTAAAGTTTCTGATTTCACCTATATCACCTACCCTAACTTGATTCATTATTATAATCATAACGATGAGAAAGAATTGGAGCAAGTTCTAAGAGATTACGGAAGCTTGTTTGATTATGGAAATGGTAAGGTTATGTCACTACTTCTTAAGCATATTTCCATAACCATTATTTGCATACATTGCATCAGCTTTAGATTAACATAGATAAAACGTTTACATTTAGCTGGAAAACTAGTGATTCCGCTATTTCGATTAGTAGAAAAAAAATTATATTTTAAACATGCAGCTATTTTTTTATACCTAAATAGCGTTTCATGGCGCTTAATCGAAATATACCATAAAATCTTTATAAAATTTTGTTCATTTAATTCATAGTAAGTTATGTATTTCATTTTGTTACTATGAGGTACCTTGTAGGTATGGAAGAATATAGACTGGATTACCTGCAGTTCAGGAAAGCCGCGTATGATGGCTACATACCATTGTATTTCAATCGGGTAATGTTCTAAATTGCATGTCATTTCTGCACAATGAATCACTGTTATTATTTTTTTAATCTCTAACATTTCCTCCCGAAACATAATATTTTTTCCACATATGGTTTTTCGTATAACGTTAACAATTTTTAAAACGCTGTAGATTCTGTTATTTTGAAATTAACGGAGAGGATTAGTATTGAAATAGTTATGTCCACTACCTGTTGTGGATTATAATCAAAACTAAAATCAATAATGGTCAAAAATAATGTTTTTTTATATGAATATTAAACGATTTGAAAAGTCAGTTCAATGCTTTAACTAATTTAATATTTAATTTATGTTCATTCGACCTTAAACAGTTTTACCATTTTATTTTATATTCCTTCTATACTAGCAACGAATGTACCTATTAATTCTCCCAATGGTCAACGTGTCTAGCACATTAATATATCACTAAGGACCATTAAACAAAAATGTTTCTTATAATATATGTACTTAGGAAATATCAAAAGTGTTTGATGAAATACGATCAGAAAATAAGGACTATGTTACTCACATAGACATGGCTAAATATTATAAAGGAATGAAAAAATCTACACTCAAGGAAATAACAAAAATATTCGGACAGCCTATAAGTATGATTTATACATTCTATTAATTCCATTTAAACTATTTTAAGAGTACCATAGGACCACTTAAGTCGTCTTTAAATGGTGGTGACCTAGAGCACTTGTATAATTAGCTCTCCATATTATCACGGTCCCGTAGGCTGTAAGTATAATTAACTTTTTTTTATTATTTGACATTCTAATACACTAATTTATTTACCGAATTTTAACAAAAAATAATATACCCATTGTGGTCCAATTAGTGTAAACAAAAATAAACTATTTTATTTTATTTTTTATAATATTTATATTTTATTCGAATGATGACGGTTATTTTTAGGTTCTTCCCTATGTAAATCCAAATACGGATTGAACTTCGCAAACTTCAGAAGAGCTATAAACACTGGAGTCCTCCCAGCCCCGGTGATACAGGAGTAATACCAAAACACTAATGACGATAAATTATTTAAATAATCTAATAGTGTAAATTCATGTCAAGTTTTTATTTGTCTCAAACTATGTTAATTTCCAAATGTCACATTTAACGTTCGCTATGATGATATAATAATATATTTAATTTGCCGTCTATTGTTCGAATTGATTGTTCTTAAAAATTAAAAATAATAACAAATATACACCCAAAATAAATTATTTACTATTGTACACAGCATAAACTGCATTTGAATTCAACACTAAAACGATAGTTTAATAAAATGTCGAAAACTCAAAATACCTATACTCCATAAAAAAAAAACAAAACCCAAGGACAAACTTGTGATGAAAAGTATATTAGTGTTACAAATCGAAATCGGTGCTTGGTCTACGAAATTATATCCGTCTGAAGGGAGACGTTCAGAGAGAAAAATAAACTGACCAAGGCGGTGGAGTGGATGACGTGTCGAGCACAAAAGAAGCTGCGAGACGACAATGGTTAAATATTATTTTGCTTTCGAAACCGAAGCGATTGTATAAATATGCAGCAGGGGAAAGTGAGATTAAATTTCACAATGCGAATTCTCGATACACTGTTCCAGATAACTGACCGAGACACGATCCAACTCGAGTAACATCACAATTATTATCTGATGATCATCAGACCTATTATAAGACGCTAAATTGTAGCCTATTTACTGTGTGACGTGTCCAAACCTAACCTTATATCGAAAGCAAACAGCTTATAAATTATAATTTAATTTGAACTTGTGGTCGAATAAAGCCTAATAAAATTTAACGATAAATAAATACTATTCAAGTTTGAGAAAAATACGGTGAAATTAAATTACACGGTTATCCGATGGATAGTATTGTATTCAACAAGTTTGAGTATATTGGCTTCATTAAGGAGAGTACCAGTTGAACACACACTACAGTGAGAATAGGCGAATGGACATTACTTGTAAAACACAATAAAACGGGTCATTTATATTGTTTTTACAATTTGTATATCAAAAATATATAAAATATATACGAAAATTAAAAATTTTGAATAAATTGCCATAATACATAAAAGTAATTTATTAATAAAAACTTTTAAATACCGTACAGTTGTGTTTATTTATAGTGGAGAAAAAATGAACAAAGTTTTCTTTAAGGTAGACTGCCTATTTTTTTTTAAACATTAAAATGACATTAATAATATATACTTCTTTTTTTTCCATCTTTCTCGCTCACTGTTGTTGTTGGCTACTCTCTGTCCGCCCCTTTTCTCTTTTATTTCTTATTATTCTTATTTCTTTCATAAGCATAACACTTTTGGTTCTCTACATTCTACAATATTCATTTTTAACTGTGCGGTACATTTACTATTGTTCTATTATTGTCTTATGCTTATGCAAAGTTTTAAAAAATAAATATACACTCATTTTTCATTTTTCTGGTTTATTTCCTAACATAACTACTATGTACGTTGCTTAATATACGAATACAATATAGAGTATATTCTAAAATCAAAGTTATGTATTATAGTGTAATACTAATTTAACAATACTAGTCATTCTAGATACATATTGGCAACGTTCTTACTTGAGCTTATACCCTTTAAGTCAGGTACTTGATTTTATAACCAATACCGGTGTAATAAATGGGCCAATAAGGCTTATCATGTATTATAATATTATACATATCTGCTAAATTTGGTAAATACCTTGTATAAGTAGAATATGGGCTTGAGCTGCTGAAAATAATTCACATATGATTATTGATTATTATATTTACAATGTTTATGAAATATTGAAAATATTACAGAAAATATCTCTACCAAAAAAGGCTATATATAAATATTGACCAATAACAATATTAATTAAAAATGTCATCGTTTTTCAATGAAATATTATTTCTAAACATTTTAACATATTATGTGAGAAATATGGCAAAGATGAAACAAAAAATGATCTGTTATTTGAGGTAGTACAATAACGATTTTATCCATTTTTCAGTCGGTTAAGTAGCTTACCTAATGCCTAAGCTAGTAGCTTACACGGAAGGCTTTAAACTTGCTTTAAAAATATACCGAAAAGTATAAATTGAATTTTTTAAGTATAATTTAAAAATTTTGTATAGATTTTTTCAGGTTGTGATATTTCTCTATATCCTATCCAAGTCACTCATACAAGTATATTATAGTAAACTAGATCTTATAAAAAAAAATGATAATTTAATCAAAAAATAGTTAGTACTTTCATCTTTAGTTTGGAGAAATAATGAGAACGTTTTCTAATACTTTCTCGGTGAAACGTACTTTGAGTTGATAACTTACTTTACTAGGCTAATTATTACTTATTTATTTCAAATAATCGTTTTCAATGGTTTAATGTATTAACAAAATTTGAAAAAAAAGTGTTGTCGTCAAGATTTGATTAACAAACACATTCTGCATCATTAAGATTTTGCACCAAAACATATACATTTTCTAGTATACAATCGGCTTTAGATTTTGTTAGACAAATCAAATTTCCCTAGCTAATATTCTTCCACTATAAAAAAAAAAGTCGGGTTTCACTGTTTTCTAGAAGTTTTGTTTGATTTAAAAATGTATTAATGCGTATATTACAATAGTGTTTGTATCGAGTTTTTGGAGCCGCATATCGAGTTCAGTAATAACATATTGTTGCTATGAGACTAAACTTCTGCAGTCGGTTCGAATTGCCCCATTAAAAAAAAAAAAATCACACTAAAGTTTAAACAATATTGAACGTATTGACTATTTTCAGAGAGTTTAGTGTGTCTGTTTCAATACCAACAACAATATGTATGTATAAAGTTTTTGTCGCGTTGTACGAGCGGGTAAAAATCAATACTTTCCTTTGTGAGGAAAAAACAACAATTAATATTGTGATTGCAGTTTTGTGTGTACACATTGGTTTCGAATGCATGTTATTCGCATTGATCTACTGCGTTTTGTGCGATGGCCAAGGTATAGTTATTGTTTACCATTTTATTAGGCCATCGAGTACAACAATAATAATATTATATTATACCCACGAAATCGATGATGCGCAATACCCATTACGTGCTCAGAATGCTAAGTGAAGCATTAATAAACCGCTATTGTTTATAAAGAAAAAATAAAATCACAATAATTATTCTTCTGGCTGCCCTCTTCGTGCCAGAAGTTCCGTTTTACAGATGTTAAAACACGGTTGACGCCAGTTAATCGGTAATCGCACAACTGAAAATGTATTATAGTTATTATGAAGCAACTACCAAAAAAAAACTGTACTCAATATATTTAATAACTTTCTTTCAAAATGTTGCCATAATAGTCTTTACAATTCAACAAAGTGGTAAAAAAGAATAGCCAATATTGTTTAAATAAAATAAAACTATTCCCGATGATATAATCACAGTGTTTTGGGCTATTTTTCAAAAATATAACACAATTTTTTTAATAAAAAAAAAAAAGCTTTAAAAACATTAGGAAGACTCTATCGGATCATGTTGAATGAACACAAGGGGTTTATAATTAGTTTTTATCAACATTTAAGCTATTTATGTATATCTCGGTCTAAGATAGTAAAATGGTTTTGTCAAAGTATAATAGATAAAACATTTTTATTTCTTTTATAGGATAAAAATGTAGTATTTTTAAAAAATTGATATATATGTACACTTTGTTTTTATTAAAAAATAAACTATATACTTAATGCATATGTCTTGCAATAACAATACCAACATATTTTTAAGAAGATCATTATTTTTATCATTAAAATAAGAATAAAGTATATTTGTACTTCTGAAACTTGTCTCTATTAAAATATATATATATTAAAATTAACGACTCGAGTATTAATTGTCGTTGTATAAATTTTGACTCTGTCAAATAGGTTAGTGTATCGTTAACCAATAATGCTGTACAGGCGCGACTTGCTCAAATAAATTATAACACTGTATATTATGATCAACATTTTATTGAATAATTAAATGGACCAATTAAAGAGCGTTAAAAAAAATATATTCACATAGATATGGACGTATGGAACACTTCAAAGGTCTAATTGGCAAATATTATTATTGTTTTTGCTGATTCGAGCGGACACCTTTTTTTACACATCGGAGGTTATTTTGATATTTATCCAGATAATACGGTCTGTCGCAAAAACAATTATTATTGAATTTTCAAAACCCTATTGGCACTGACAAACCGAAATTGTTCAATGTGTTCGTTTTGCGTTCCAGCCGACGCGACGGTCCCGAGGGTCGGGTTAACAATCAATAACGTCATTGAGATACCCTTCAAACATTATAATACAGGTTTGTGTAAGCAAAACGAATAGAACATATTTAAAATACGAATACAAATAGAAATTCCAATCGTTCGCAATCAGTTTTGTTCGAAGAGGAATAATAATTTATTCTATTCGACGTCGTTTCACATCACGCCAGAGAAAATAAATAAATCTTAATTTTTTTTTTACCCTCGATATCCCGAAAATGTTTTTCGACGCACAAAATTAACCGGGCGGTCGAATATAGTATTTGCAAAAAATAACATTTAATTGTAAAAAAAAAAGTGCACAAACGGGTTGGTCGCAATAGAGTTAACGCAGTTGCCGGCAGACATGCAAATTGTCTGTGGCGATTCGTTAGTTTTAAAAATTTCAGTGTACTACCAAAAGGGCGAGAGAATGGTAGAGAAAATGTTTTTTCTGAATCGATCCGATTAATTTATTATGATAATTACTTGTGCATGTGTTTTATATTTGAAAACAAGTTTATTACAAAAGAAAAAAAAATGTTCAAACACTGTAAAATTAATGAATGTAATAATTCCAATGCCGGTATAATAAAAGTTTGCATTAATCCTTAACGACCCTTAGCATTTAAAAGGATGGTCTGGTATGCTGCCTTGTACAGTTTATGTATTTTCAGTAATCTCTCTCTTATATATATATATATATATATATATATACTTATACACACTAAATCAGTAAATTAGGAATTCAGCTAAAATAATTATTTTCACTATTGTAGTGTTTTTGTAAGCTGATACCAAAACTAGCTCATCTCAACAGCGAATGGAAAACTCTAGACACTTAATACACTACTGTGTAATATAGCAGGCGTCAGGTCAAGAGGTGAGGCCAACGAGTATTTGAATA